ACTAATAAATGAAGGTCCAGAATGCCAACTCCCATCTCTTATCCTGCCTCTACTGCTCCTTCCAGCCCTAATCTGTGCGTGAGAGAAGATGATACAGAGTGTGCTGAGGAGGAGGTGGCTGTCTGCAGGGTGGGCTCTGCCTAGGGCCAGGCAGGATCGTCCTGGGGCAGAAGAGCTGATGGATGTGAAGTCCGGGGTTTCTTGGCTGGATGCAGGGGACCTGCTAGCCCCATCTTATTTAAAATCTCTCTCAGGCCTTGGATTTTAGCTACTCCCCACATCCTTTCAAGCTCAAAACTCAGAAAAGTGCTTTGTTTGGGCCACACAGAACCCTGGAGCCTTGAGTGACCCATGAGATGGTTTCAGAGTGAAACAGTTCTTGGGACCTTCCAGGAAACACTGGCTCCTCCAGGAAGCCCACCTTGATTTTCTGATGTTTCCTTTCTCCCCCTCAGTTTTGTTCAAATTCCCAGAGCCTTCCCCATGGGAGGGATTGCAGCATGCTTCCCGTAGACCTGAGGTTCTTCCTCTTTTTTCGTGACAGGAACATTTCAGTTAAAGGCTAATGAAAGTAAGGATTGACTTTTTTCTCCATCCCCAGTTCAAAGACCCCTGAATTCCATCCATCAGGCCACAGAGATCATTTCTAGCCTCTTAATCTCCCCTCCTCCAGACTTAGCCCATTGTCTAGTCTTGGGACCCGTTGTGACCCCCAGGGTCTGGAACACAATAGGTGCCTGGCATGTGCCTTTGTGGGTAAAAATAGGCCTTGCAGGTCCCCTCGAAGTGCAGACCTGCCCCAGCTGGGGGTAAGCCAGCTGGGACCAGATGCTTCCTGAAGGAGGGGACGACGCAGGTGCTGGAATGCCTCACACGGCCTCCTGCTTCCCAGCAGCTGCGTGAAGCTGGGCCTCAGACTGCAGAGGAAGAAGCCGGTTCCAGGCTGCAGGGCTCAGAGGGGACCTTTGGGCCTGGTTCACAATGGACGACAGGGCTCCCATGCAGCCTGTTGAAGATGCCATGTGGCTTGCAAAGTCTGAGGCTCTGGTCCTGGCACGTGGGCTACCAGCAGCATGTTCTTTGCCTCTTTGGCCCCAAATGGGCGTGGCCGTGTGCCCCTCATCCCCAGCCATGTTTAGCTGAAGCTGTCCTGCTTGACAAATGGGCCATTTACTTCCTGCGCTGGAGCTGGAGTGGCCAGCCCCCGAAGAGAGACTATAATTAGCAGAGAAGAGTGGATGGGATTGCACGCTAGCATCAACAGTTAATTTTATACTCACATGGAAACATAAACTGATGTCCTCAGAGATGTAAATATCATTTGGAAATCTTGAAGTGCCTGGGAGGGGTATGCCGGCCTCTCCCCGTGCCTACTGCCCCTGGAACCCTTGAATGAGGAGCCCAGATCAGCGTGTGCTGTGTGCGAAGCCACCTTGGGGACTGCCTGCTGGCCGCTGGGAGGGCTGGACCAGGAGACACGAACCTGTGATAGCTCAGTACACAGTGGTGCGGGAGTCCAGAAGTTTGGGTCTGCGTTTGCCACAGCAGCTTTCCTATGGCTTTAGTGGTCTGGAAATGTTGCAAGGCTGACTAGCAAGGAAAATGTGATCTTTTGTAACAGGAGAGAGATCAGACCAAAGGAAGTTTTGTTTCCTCCCGGCAAGGCTGTTCTGGAGTGTCCGGGGAGCTTATAAAAATAGAAGAAGCCACTGACTGGCCTTTACAAAGAGGGCTGGGGTCAATTCTGCTCAGAATGGAGGCCAATGACAGCTTTGGTGTTTTGGAGATGGTTTACGGTACTTTAATCCAAAAGCATAGCCTCAAGCGGGAAGGAGGGAGGGGGACAGGCTAGGGCACTGGGAAGATGTCAGGGCCTGTGTCCATCCTGCCCAAGAAGAGCTTTTTTTTTTTTTACAGCAGGAAACAAAACAAAAGTATATGGAATCGATCCTGAAAATATTAAGATGTTATCTTGTTGGTTCAGTGACAACCTGAGAATCATACTTTCCACCAAGGTAGAGGGTAAAGCCCCACCTCTGTTGCCCCCATGGCCTTGCATATTGGCTGCACTCCTGCCTGGGCTCTGAAGATGTCACCTCTTTGTGGGGTTCTTCTTTAACCGTCATCCCCAGGGTGAAGGGGTGGAAGGATCCCTGGGGTGGAAGGATCTCTGGGCTCTGTGTCTGGTTCAGGGTTAGGGTTGAGTGATTGATTTCTTGTAATTGCACTGATTCGGAAGGGGAGGATTTGGCTCTCTAAAGCTGCTTGCCCTTGTTCTCAGAGGACCCGCAGGGCTTAGGCCAGCCTTGAACAATGATTTCACCATGTTCTGGGGTTTGGAGCATGAACTGACCAAATAACTCTGGTTAATCTTTCCCTATCAAAGGTAGATTTTATTTCCTGTGGTCCCCAATTTCCTATAGAGGGCTGTGTGTGTGTGTGTGTGTGTGTGTGTGTGTGTGTGTGTGTATCCTGTCTTATAAATTAAAAAATTTACCCAACTGGGTAATTTGGATGACATCATTTCACTCACGGTTTTCCTGATATGGCCAACTTGTTAATAAGTGGCTCATGGCCAAGTTTGTCAATGCCTTTCGCACCTATTGGCCCATGTGTGTTGGGAAGGCATTCCTTTAGACCAGGGGAGTGGATCTCAGTAGTCCCAGTTTATCCTTTCAAACTAAGGGGAATGGCACTTAGCTGTGAAATACAGCAGAACCCTGGACCCGAGGGAGATGGCTTCCCAGTAATCCCCTGTTACCCAGTGTTTCTAAGTAAGGTTGGTCTGTTTGACTTTTGGCATCCCCGCCACTTGTCAAAGCTTAGGAGAAGCAGGCACTTCCCTTTACCCAGGACAGTCTTGGTGCTCTTTAGAAGGCAGTCAAGGGGATCTACTTTGAGGGCACATTGTAGCCAATTTAAGGTGGGGGTAGACCAGGAGTAACTTGAGGAGTTCCAGATGTTGACTCTAGGGTAGCTGTGCTCATGGCACATCTGGCCCACATCTTGTCTGTATTATCCCTCATTTCCTTTACTCAGACCTTTGCTGACAGCACCATGGCTTCCAGCTCCTCTCCCACACTGCCTTCTGCTCTGTGAAGTCCAGGGTATCTGCTCTCAGGAATGTGTGGCCTGGAAAGCCAGAATCCTTGGACGGGAAGGAGGCTGGGTAGACAGTGGCAGACTCAAACCCAAGGGGGTCTATTAGGAAGCCTGGCTTGCATCCATTCGACAGACATTGATTATAAATGCCTGTTGTACTTCCTAAATGCCAGGGCTGTTGTGGGTGCTGACGATGTCCGAAATGGTCGAAAATCCCTCCTAGCATGGAGCTTATGTTCTTGTTGGCAAGACAAACAGTTAAAAAATAGAGCAAAAAATGTGGTATGTTAAATACTTGCAATTACAAAGGAAAAACATAAAACAGGAAAATGGGATCGGGAGTTTCAAGGAGAGGGATTTTCTACATTTAAACAAGATGACCCCAAAGGCCTCACTGAGCAGGAAACGATTGAGCAAAGACGGGAAGGAGGTGAGGCAGGGAGCCATAGAGCCATATGGAGATCAGGAGGAAGAGCATTCCAGGCAGTGGGAACAGCCTGTGCAAAGGCCCTGGGGTGGCACACTTCGTGTGTTTGACCAGCAGTGAGGAGCCCCATGCAGTTAAAGCAGAGTGAGGAAGTGGGGGGAGTGAGAAGTGAGCTCAGACAGACTGTGTAGGCTGTGATTAGGGTTGTGGCTTTTACTCTTGGCGCACAGAGTACCAGCCTGCCCTGATTAGGTTTCGCCTGTCACTCTGTTGTGGAGAACGGGCTGAAGGGGGCCAGTTAGAACACTATTGCGGATCCCAGTGCAATGTGGCAGTGCAGCCACAGACTCATCTGAGGGTTCGGGGTGATGTCAGCTGATCAATCTCCCTGAAGATTTAGTATGAGAGTTTTCAGGCTGAGAGCAAAAAAGGGGTCCCCCAAGGGCTTTTTTTTGCCTGGATTTTTCTGATGGGTTGTTACAGTGGTCACCTTTCCACCGTTAGGAAAGTTGATGATGAAGAATTCACCGGAAAAGCCCTCCTGCTCCGACTTTCGGCATTCCCGATAGTCTTTCTGAAGATAAATTCCATGTTTATGGTGCTGAGTGAAATGCCCATCTCCCTGAGCAGTTCTGAAATTTCCCTTGGTGACCTGCCTGTGTAATACGCAGCCCAGGGGCCCCAGGCTTTACAGACTTACAGTGTTTCCAGTTTCCTTATCTCACAAAAGCCTTGCAAAAACCTGTGGGGTGAGCAGGGCAGAAATGATAAACTTCAGCCATTTTTCAGATGAGAACACAGACTCATGTGGTCCAAGGCCTATCCAACGCCCAGGGTTAGCAAGTGGCACAGCTGGGACTCGAACCCAGGTTCTCTGACCCTCTAGCCAGTGGATTTTCCCTGACTCACCAGTACCTTCTTCTAAAGCAGCATTTCCAAATAGGGTCTGTATTAGTTTGCTAGGGCTGCCATAACAAAGTGCCACAGACTGGGTGGCTTAAACAACAGAGATTTGTTGTCTTGCAGCTCTGGAGACCAGAAGTCCAAGAGGAAGGTGTGGGCAGAGTTGGTTTTCTCTGAGACCTCTCTCTTTGGGTCTGTAGATGGCTGTCTTCTCCCTGTGTCTTCACATGGTCTTCTCTCTGTGTGTGTCTGTATCCTAATCTCCTCTTCTTCTAAGGACAACATTTGTATTGGATTAAGGCCTAGTCATAAGACCTCATTTTAACTTAATTACCTCTTTAAAGCCTCAATCTCCAAGTACAGTCCCATTCTGAGGTCCTGGGGGTTAGGGCTTCAGCATGTGAATTTGGGGGGACACAGTTGAGCCCATAACAGTTTCCCTCACATCCAGTCACCTGGGGTGAGCCCCTCGAACGGCAGACATCACAGCCCTCAGACGAGCCCTTTGTAGGAAAATCACGCAACTGCCAGTTCTTCTCCTCTCTCACTCCTTGCTTTCTTGCCGCAGCTGATCGGGGGCCTGGTCCTGTCAGTGGGGATCTATGCAGAGGTCGAGAGGCAGAAATACAAAACCCTGGAAAGTGCCTTTCTGGCCCCGGCCATCATCCTCATCCTCCTGGGGGTTGTCATGTTCATCGTGTCCTTCATCGGCGTGCTGGCTTCCCTTCGCGACAACCTGTGCCTTCTCCAAGCGGTGAGTCCGCCCCACGCACCCCTCAGCCACTGGTGGTGGGGTCCTTGGCGTCCCCAGGAGAGCTGGGGAGAGCACCCCTGGGCCCTTGGGCATCCCAGTTATTCAGTCCTTGCCTCAAACCAGCTCTTTTAGAGGGTTTCCTGGGTCAGCCTGTCTGTGCACGTTGGCCCAAGAGTGCCCAGCCTCCTCCACTAATGCGTAGAAAGGCTGATTTGAATACTGTTCTTCTTAATTAAACCCTGTGTTGGTCTGGACTGTCGGTTGGAGGTGGGAGAAAGCACACTCAAATGAGAGCAAGCAAAACCAAGAAAAGTTGTTGGTGGTGAGTCAGTAGCTCATGTAACCAGCAAGCCCATACTGGGTCCAGGGCTACAGACGGTGCCCTCAGGCTCTCTCTCTCGCCACCTCCCAGCTGGACGCCCGATGCTGTTCTCAGGCTCTTTGCAGTGGTGGCCAGCAGCCTCAGGCCAACAGTCCTTATGGTTCTTGATTCCGGGGAATCTTTCCTGGTAACTCTGGCCAAGGTCCTAGGACTCTGATGGGCCTGCTTGGCCAAGTGCCTGCCCTGGGGTCAGGGAAGGTCAACCCCCCTACCCCCCTTACTGGCAGGAGATGGATGGCTTCCCAGAGTGGGGGGTGCCGGGTAGGAGGATCTGTTTTCTCTGCAACCACGTGTGTGTTTGACCTCATTGACCCCCTCACGCAGGAAGCCCCTAAAAGCCCCTATGAGGATAGTCTTGGTGCTGCCTGAGCCTGGAAGTTATTGCCATCAGTTTGGACAATGCCCGTTTCTGTGATAAAGGGGGGTGTATCCTCTAAGCCTCAGGCATCCCCTCACCCACCCTGGGGGTCTGGGAAGCCACTTTGGAGAGCCTCTGCAGGCAGAGCTGGAAATGCTGCGCAGCCTGTCCATCAAGCCAGGCCTGTCCCCTCCGGGTCAGCCAGAGCGAGGACCAGCTCTGCTTGTGGTGGGGGGTGGGTGGAGGGGATTGTGTTTCTCCACCTAGACCCTGCTGAGGACCCCTGGGACAAACCTTGATAACAGTCTGGCTGGGACAGCTGAGTCACTTTTCCTGACCACTAGCTCCAGCGACAGGCTTTCCCGGGAATGTGTGTCCACATCCTGTGTCCTCACAGGAGGAAGGGGCGAAAGGCCCAGGAGCCGCTAAGAGCTCCGACAGAGGTGATTCTCTTTATTGTGCTTGACCTCGGAGCAGATGGCACTTCCCCTTCCCCTCTAGGTGAATCTCTGAATTTTGTTTTCCAGTTTATGTACATCCTTGGGATTTGCCTCATAATCGAGCTCATTGGTGGCGTGGTGGCCTTGATCTTCCGGAACCAGGTGGGCCTCTGGCGCAGTTATCAGCCATGTATATGCTAGTCACCCACTGTGTGTGCGCCCAGGGCTGCAAACTGGGGGTGCAGCAGAGAGCTGGGCAGATAATCCCTTGTGGAACATCCACTGGGCTGGGGCGATGGGCACTGAACAGGTAAACCGGAGAACAAGAAAACAAAACAGGCTGATAACAGAGTGCCTGGGGTGGAGGTGGGGAGGATGCTGCTGAAAAGGAACCAACCAGCTAAGGCTCAGAGGGAACAGAGGTCCAGGCGGAGGGAGCCACTGAGGCAGAAGGGAGCTTGGCGGGTTTGTGCACAGTGTGGAGGCCGCTTGGCTGAAACAGGTGAGTGATGGGGAGAGGGTAGAAGATGAAGATCTAGGGCAGATCAGGTAGGGCCTTGGATTTTTGTTTTAAAGGCAGTAGGAAGCCTTTGGAGAGTTTTATGCTGGGAAGTGATGTGATCTGATTCACATTTTACTTGCTGCTGAATGGAGAGTGGACAGTAGGGAGACCAGCTGGGTGGGCCTTAACCACAGGCATGTCTATACCCTTGGAATCCAGGGGTCTTCTTCCTGTTTGTGATGGAAGGGGAGATTCCCATCATATTGATGGAGTCATTGAGGCACAGAGAGGTTAAGAAGCCCTCCTAAGAAAACACAGGAAGATGGAGGCAGCTCAGGGATGCTTTCCAATCTTTTTTTCAGTTCTTTTTTTCTCCCCTGCCCTAGCTTTATGGGGAATAATTGACAAATAAAATTGTGATATATTTAAACTGTACAGTGTGATGATTTGAGATACGTATACATTGTGAAAGGATTACCACAATCAAGGTAATTAATACATCCATCACCTCAAATAGTTAACTTTTTTTTTTGATGAGAATACTTAAGATCTGTTCCCTTAGCAAATTTCAAATGTATAATACAGTATTATTAACTATAGTCAGTATGCTGTACATTAGATCCTCAGAGCTTATTCATCTTATAACTGGAAGTTTGTACCATTGACCAACATCTCTGTATTTCACCCGCCTCCTGTCCTCTGGCAACCACTTTTCTACTCACTGGTTCTATGAGTTTGAGGTTTTTTTTGGTTTTTTTTTTTAGACTCCACATATAAGTGACTCCATATAGTGTTAGTCTTTCTCTGTCTGACTTATTTCACCTAGTATAATCCCCTCGAGGTTCACCCATGTTGTCACAAGTGGCAGGTTTTCCTTCTTTTTTATGGCTGAATAATATTCCATTATATATACATTTTATATATATATATACATATATATACACACACAATGGAGAATATATGTATATCTATATATCTACGTATCTGTATCTCTCTATATATATGTATATATCTCACATCTTTATCCATTCATCTGGCAACAGACACGTTTCCATATCTCGGCAATTGTGAATCATACTGCAATGAACATGAGAGTTCTTTTCCTGGCAGATAACTCTTTGAGATAGTAATTTCATTTCCTTTGGATATATACCCGCAAGTGGGATTATACCACGTATGGTAGTTCTATTTTTAATTTTTTGAGGAATCATCATACTGTTTTCCATAATGATTGTACCAATTTACACTCCCATCAACAGTGTCCAAAGGTTCCTTTTCTCCTCACCAACATTTGTCTCTCGTTTTTTGATAATAGACATTCCACCAGGAGTGAGATAATATCTCATTGTGGTTTCAGTTTGCATTTCCCTGATGTTTAGTGATGTTGAGCATCTTTTCATATACCTGTTGGCCATTTGTATGTCTTCTCTGGAAAAATATCTATTCAGGTTCTCTGCCTGTTTTTTACTCAGATTACAGTTGACCCTTGAACAACATGGGTTTGAAATGTGTATGTCCACTTATACACAGAGTTTTTTCAATAAATATAGTACCTGTATTTCATTTTACAGATCCTTAAATAACTAAGTGTGAGGAAAAGTTTATGTTCAGTTAGAGATTACAATATGTGGAGTCAAAAGAACTAGGGTTTGAGTCCTGACTCTATTTAAGCTGTTTTAGCTTCCTGCCCTTGGGTGAGTTATTTATCATTTCCTTTGCTTTTGAGGCAGAAATAGCAGTATGCAGATTTTCAACTGTGTTGGGTGTTGGCATCCCTAATCCCTACAGTGTTCAAGGGTCAACTGTATTTGTTTTTTTTGCTATTCAGTTGTAAGGGTTCCTTGTATATTTTGGATATTAACCTCTTATCAGATATATGGTTTACAGATATTTTCATAGTTTGCCTTTTTACTTTTTTGATTATTTTGCCGTGAAGAAACTTTTTTGTTTGATGTAGTCCCACTTATTTATTTTTGCTATAGGCGACATTGCCTATAATGTTTGATGTCAGATCCAAAAAATCACTGCTAAGACCAATGTCAAGGAGTTTTTCCCTATATTTTCTTCTAGGAGTTAGTTCTACAATTTCAGATCTTATATTTAAGTCTTTCATTCGTCTTGAGTTGATTTTTGTCTATGGTATAAGATAAGGGTCTAATTTCATTCTTTAGCACATGGATTTCCAGTTTTCTCAACACCATTTATTAAAGAGATTGTCCTTTCGCTGTTGTATATTCTTGGCATCTTTGCTGGAAATCAGTTGACCATATATGTGTGGGTGTATTTCCAGGCTGTCTATTCTGTTCCACTGACCTATGTGTCTATTTTTATGTCAACACCATACTGTTTTGGTAACTATAGCTTTGCAATATTGAAGTCATGAAGAGTGATGCCTCCAGCTTTGTTCTTCTTGCTCAAGATTGCTTTGGCTATTGGGGTTTGTTGTGGTTCCATATGAATTTGAGGATTTTTTTTTCTATTTCTGTGAAAGATGCCATCTGAATTTTGATAGGGGATCGCATTGAATCTGTAGATTGCCTTGTCCCACTGGTTGTCTTCCCAATCTAGTTTTGATACCCGTTCCTCCCTTTTTCTCTTTTCTGCTTTTCAGACCATCTGCTCTGGGCTGGCAGTTCCAGGGTATTGGTTCATTTTTCAGCAGCCCTGAGGGGAGAGAGATGTTTATTCCATTTGCGAATGGGGATGCATTTTTGTGCAGTCAGCAGGGCTCCTGGCCAGCCCACAGCTTTCCAGAGTTATGAGTGCTTTACTGACTAAAGCCCAGGTCCAGGCCAGGGTTAGCAGCATCAGTGGTTTAATAAACAATCCCCTAAGTTTCCCAGGTGCTTTCACAAAGGTGGTTGACTTATTTTCCAGGGCCGGGTAGGTCAACAGGGACTGTGACACCACTCTTCTCCAGGGAGAGAACTAAGACGAAACCTCCAGGGACCCTTAGCTCTTACAGCTGAGGATGCCGTGGGCCTGCGGTCAGGGGTGAGAGTTTCCATTATCCCCAAACCCTGAGGGCACCACGGGGTGAAGTGTGTTCCTTCCCCTTGGGTGGGTTGTCCCCTTCATGGGGCCCTGTCAGGAGAAGGTCTCAGTGTGCAACCCAGGAAGGACCTTCACCTTCAGGGCTCTCAGCTCTTTGGAGGCTCATGATGGGCTGTGCTGTCATATGCCCATGATACATAATTCAAAAAATTAAAAAATGAGATACAAAACTAAGTGCAGTAAGATCTCCACAATGAAAAAAATAGGCCTGGAAAAATCTGGAAGGAAATAGAAATATTAACATATTAATTCATATCTCCTCTGAGGGATGGGACTCTTTTTTTCCCTAGCTCCCAAATTTTCTTTTTCTTTTTTTATAATCAAGGGGGAAAATACCATATAAAGAAAAATGATGTCCCTGCCAACTGTAATGCCATGCGATTTTGTAAAACAAGAAATGGGCCAATGGCGAGGATAGGGAAGGAGCAGCCTGGCTGTTGATGGTGGCAGAAAGGGGCAGCGTACGATGGAGGAAGAGGTGAGGCACAGTCAAGGTCAGGTTCCAGGAGGAGGTGAGTTCCCAACTCCAGTTTTTCTTCACCAAGAGGAGAAGACAGACTTCTCTGAATCACAATGTAATAAGTTCATTCTCCAGCCCTGCAGGCTACCTCTTAACTCTAAGAATGCACTTGTGGTGACAAATGAGGACAAGTCATCAGGCTAATAACTTCACACAGGGTTCTCAGGAAGGTGCACAGACCATGGCCACCGCCAGGCAGAGAAAGATAAACAGACTCCCGAGTGTAAGGAAGAAACTCCATCAACCACTGCCCCTGCTGCCAGGCATGACCCAGTAGTTGGACTGAAGCAGCTTTTCTGCTTGTGCAGGGTCGAGTGGCCGTGCATTGGAGAGCTGGGTGCAGAGCTGTTGGCCCCAAGGGCCCGGGCATTAGAAGCAGAAGTGCAGCACCTTGAACCCAGTGGGGGGCAGAGAACCTGAACGACCTCCACAGCTGTCTGGGTCTCACCGCTCTTGACCTGCCATCACCACAACTTGTCCCGAGGCTCTCTGGAGGGTGTCGGGGGTTTTGGAGGTGGGCAGCTCCTGACCGTGTGTTCCCAGCGAGGCAGGGCTGAGCAGGGACACCCAGAGGGCACTGGGCTGTAGCTGGTACGTCTTTACCCATCCCCGACCTCCTTCCCTCTACCACCAGAACAGTCAGGAGAGCGACCACTTTCCTGGCCTTGATCAGAGGGTGCTGTGGTCACACCTAACACCAGGCCATGGGATGATGGGCAGCACCCAGCCTGTTTATCATGGCACTGCCACTAGCGGGCTCTGGGTGTGACCATGAGGTCAGGGCAGGGAGAAAGGAGACAGCATGGCCTGCTTGGCTGAGCACCTGAGCATGTATATCCTTCCCACCCAGAATAAAGTAGAGAAAGTTCTGCACTGTTGTGGACAGATTCCCATAGCTGGTGCCTCCCACTGTGGGAGTGAGAGCTAGAGCCCCAAACACCTGGGAGACCAAAGCATAACCCTCCCCCACCACGGGGATTAATCCTGTGACCTCCAGCCGGGTATTCCAGAGAACCTTGCAGAGTTTGCACCTCTTTCCTTCTCACTCCCTGGGTTCCTCTCAACCCTTGGTTGTCTGATGGGGCCCATCTCAGGGCTGGAGCAGAGGCTGGGGTCTGGAGGCAACGAGGATGAATCCCCACCTTCTGGGGGTACTGTGGGGAGCCCAGAGATGCTGGCTCAGCCCAGGCACTAAGGGAGGAAGGAAGTCCTAGGCTGAGCACCCGCCTCTGCGTTATGAGAGCTGAGCTGCCAGCTATTGGGCCTCCCCAGCATGGGCCTCAGAAGCGGACATGAAGCGATGGAAGCTGGCTGGCAGCCTGTAGGAAACTAGGACAGTTGCGTCCCCAGAGGCCTGGTGGGAGGCTCCGGCTACCAGCCAGCCCTTCCATCCCTGCCGTCCTGGGGGAGCTGCTGCCCCATGTCCCCCACCCCTCCAGTTCCTCATTTATTTAGGCTAAAAAAAAAAAAGCTTTATTGATATTTAATTCACATGCCATACAATTCACTCATTTAAAGTGTACGTTCAGATATGTGCAACCATCACCACTGTCGATTTTAGAACATTTTCATGACCTCCAGAAGAAATCTGACATCCCTTCGCTATTCTCCTCATTCATTTAAAAACTCTCCAAGTGCCTCCACTGAGAGCAGTGATGCAGAGGCTTCAGATATCTTTAAAACTAGATTAAAAGAAAGAACTAGAAAGGGCAGTTCTTTGTAGCTTGAGTCTGGTAGCTTGAACAATGTGCTCTGAAAATCCCATGGCCTTTGATGCTTGCTTACTCTTTGCTTAATTTAGCCCGGGCCACGTGCCTCTGAGGCCATGCCAGCCATTTGTGAAAGGTGGTTTTCTAGTCCTCATTGGAGCTGCCCCTGCTGTGTGACCTGGTTTAGAGCAGGGTGGGGCTGGCACTGTGTGTGTTTGGCCTCTGGACGCAGCAGAGGAAGCCAGAATTCTCTTTTCCCTTCCACGCTCCCACAGGGCGCGTCCTCTCAGCGGCTCCCCCAGTCCCTCAGGACGTTGTGGGATATAGCACCATGCTTTACACTTAATTAGAGTTAATTAATGACCTGTATGCCCTCCACCCCCACAGGAACCACCCAAGCATTCTACACACGCCTCTGGCATGGGCACGCACGTGCACACGCACACGCACGGTGCCAAAGGCAGTGCACACGTGCAAGAACCAGCAGAACCCAAAGAGCTCTCTGATGGGAACTGGGGGCAGCTGCCGCCTGTGGAGCCTGGGACCATCTGTTCCTCCTGTCCATCCTGAGAGGCCTCCAGCGGGGCCTCCCTTCCCCACAGGGTCCCGGTTCAGCTAACCAGATGGAAGGCCTGATTTGCACAAAGAGGGCTCTTTTGGAGTCCGTGCCTTTGGAAAATGCTCAGAGACTAAGCTGGTTTGGGGAGGGAGGTCAGGGCTGCTCACCAAAGAGGGAGGGAGAGCCTTTCCCCTTTGGGCCACTGAGCGTCCCCTCTGCCGCCTGTCTTCCTCCCTGCCCTGGGCCTCCTGCCCTCATCCCACCCTGTTTCCTAACAGCATGTGACCCAGTGGGAGGGCTGAGGGGTGAGCCGATGGGCTGGGGTAGGTGGACCAGGACGGTCCGCAGTGCCTTGAGAGTGGAAGGAAGCCACCCCGCCTCCCATGAGTGTGGCCCTAGACATTTCCCTGACCTTGGACATCAGCCCCTGCACCTCAGTTCAGCCAAGGGCCCCTTACACCATGCCATTTAACGCTGTGAGCTCATTCCCTTGCCCTACCCTGGGTGACAGACTGATCCTGCCTGGTGTCCTGTTTTCTTCGACACCCCCAACCATGCTCCAGCTGGCTGGCCTGTCCCTTCATCACCCAGAGGAGCAGGTACCCAAGGTCGGAAAGGCTGCAGGACCTGGGAGCCTCTGGGAAGGGTGGCCTGAGCCCAGGCAGCCTCCTGCTCTGCCCAGGTCGAGTGGCCAGCAAGCAGCTCTTACACTGAGCCCCTGCCCTGGGTGGGATCCAGTGCCAGACCTGGGCAGGGCTGAGGGCTGGTGACTGCAAGAGCCTCTCACACGGGAAGGGGGCTGGCCCTGTGCCTTCCGAGGCCTGCAGCTCCCAGGTCTGCTCCTGAGCGGCTGATTTTCATCAGCAGAGGGTTTTCCTTCTGGCCACAGAGATAGGTTTCCCTGAGCCAGTCTCCTTTGTCACCTTGGCTTTGAGCAGTGTCTAAATTTCAGGAAGGAGATGGCTGTCACATCCTTCATTCCTCTCTTTTTGATACTGGAGATAGTTTGGGGAGATGGCCCCAATCTGAACCTTGGGTTCTTATCTTGGCTTCTTTTTTTCCTGTTTTCCATATTAGCTTTAATCATTGGTAACACATGATCTTTTATGAGTCTTAAGATTGTTAATATTGTTTCTCATTTTACAGAGGAGTTACCTTGGATAACCTATCCCCACACAGAGTTTTTGTTTTTGTTTTTAATTTTTATTGGAGTATATAGTTGATTTACAATGTTGTGTTAGTTTCTGGTATAAAGCAAAGTGAATCAGTTATACATATACTTATCTTGGCTTCTTAAAGTGTATCAGGCCGGGAGTTTGACGCTTTGGTTCCAGCATCTCTCTGCCAGTGATCAGCAGGGTGACCTTGGACACGTCACATCACCTCTTTGGGCTGCAGGGTGTTTGTGAGGGGTCCCAGGCTAGGGCCCAGCTCTTGGACAAGACTTAGGGCCTTAATTTCTTCTGGGATTAGCCATTTTCCACTGATGACGTAATGGGTATGAAGTGATACCATAGGGTATCTGTCTCCTGGAAAAAGAAAGACCTATCGTAATAACAGCAGGGCTTACTATGTGCCTGGCATCCTGCTAAGCGCTTTTGTAGATTTAGTTTATTTGAATCTCCAACCCCTCCCAGGCAGAGGATTCTCCCCCGCACCCAGCCCCCATTCCGTAGAGGAAGAAATGGAGGCCTGGAAGTTAAATGAAGTGCCTGAGGCCTGCGTGGCTGCAGGGAGTGTTCTTGACCACGAGGCCTGACAGCCCCTCGCAGCCTAGTCTTTGATCTTCAGAGTCGGAGGTGTCTTAAGCATAGGCCTGCAGGGTTGGTTCACAAGTGGGAAACTGAGGCCCAGAGAGGAGAAGTAGCTGTGATGGGGCCTGCAGTCCCAAGCTAGGGCCTGGAACCCAGGGCCCTGCTGTCCCCATGTACCCTGAGGGCACCTCCCCCGGGAACCGTCCGGCTCCAGAGCTGAGAATGCACCCTTTGTGCCAGCACAATCTCTGATGAGACACGGGCCTTCCTGCTCTGAAAGCCCTGATTGTCGCTGCCAGTGTGGAGCTGGGCTGCCCACGCTCCCGCCCCATCCCTTCCTGCTGTGGGGCCTTTTGTGCTCCTGGATCCCAGTACAACAGCCGGGCTGTTGATCCAGAAGGCCCAGTGTGACTGGGAGAGGGCGGCCTGCCAGCGCCCTTCCCGGTGGGGATTGTCCCAGCCCGAGAGGGAGGTGGGCCCTGTCATCTCCCTGCAGTGACAGAGAGAGGCCCGGAGGAGAGTCAGGAGACCTGGCCAGGCCCCTAACCAGAGTTGAGACCTGCTCGGTGATCTGGGGAGAATCAAGCTCCCTCTCTGGGCCTCCTTATCTGTAGAACAAGAGCTTGGATAGGAGAGAAGAGTGGAGAGAAGGCCTGGAGGGCAAAGGGAACATTCCAGCACAGGCCTGTCTTTGGCAGTAGAAGGAGTGCCAGGCCAGGAACCTGAGCAGCTGAGTCCCAGCCCTGGCCTGGATGGGTTGTTTGATCTGTAAAGGAATGAGGTGCACCATTCCTGCATCCGATGGGCACTGGGGGCGTGGAAGGGGTGCTTTGTGCAGGTAGGGGCAGGGGCCCCCTGAGCATGTGGGCACTCTGGTTCAATCCCGACTTTTGGGAAATCTCGGGTGGGACTCTGGGGATGTGTGCCCTTCTTCCTTTGTAATTTCTCTGTCTAAATAGACCATCGACTTTCTGAATGACAACATTCGAAGAGGAATCGAGAACTACTATGACGATCTGGACTTCAAAAACATCATGGACTTTGTTCAGAAGGAGGTGAGCCAGGCGCTTTGGGTCAGACATCTGCCTCCCATGCCCTTTGTCCCCTACTGGGGACCCCGCTCAAGAGGTTGGGGGTGAGGGTCACATGGCTTATCCATTCCCAAAGCAGGTGGCTGGCCACGTTGGGAGGCAAGAGTGGGCCATGGATGGCTGCCAAGGGTAGGGATGCCAGGGCCTGACCTTCTCAACCAGCTCTCTACCCATGTGCTTCCCCCACAATATACTTGCCCTACCTGTTCCTCTCCAGGTACACGGGCCCTCCCCTCCTGGAAAAAAAAAAAAGAACAAGGTCAGGGGTAGCTACAAGCCACCTGGCAGTGCCTCAGGGTGCCCCTCTCCAGTGGGTAAAGATCCTGCTTCTTTGAGGTGGGAGTGACCTCCAAGCCACCCAGTTCAAAGTTCCCCCTGCCAGGACCCTTTAGTGATGGGGAGCTCACTGCCTTGCCAAGTCAAGGACAGCCCCGATGGGGAGAGAGCTGTTCCCCGATTCCATATCCCCCTGCATGGGGGAACAGAACAAGACTTCTGCTTTTCCTCGATGACACTTCTTTGAATGTGATAATTGTCCTTTGGGGATGTCATCCCTCTTCCCAAGGTCCACCCAAATCTGTGGGTGTAATAATAATAGCAGTTGCAGGGCAAGCTGCTGCCCTCGGGGGCTTCTACACATCAATCTCACTTAGTCCTCCTGCGCCTTAGCCTCCTCATCTGCCTCAAGGGGATACTTGGTCCCTTCCTCTTGGCGTCGTTGTGAGATTGCCTCAACCTGTTTCAGAGGTGGTTAGAGCAGTGCCAGGCAAATGATGAGACCTAGGTCAGTGTCAGCTGCAGTGGTCATCATCCTCATGTCCTACTAGGTGAGGACAAGCAGAGTTTGAGGGCCGAGGGCCCGCTCAGCCCTGGCAGTGCTTCTTTGGATGTGACCTTGGGGGCGTCAGCTGGCCTGATTCCCATGCTAGCCCTCAGTGGGGACAAACGTCTCACCGCACCCAGGGCCACCCGTAGTGGCCACACCCTTGGCTCAGGCCTTCCATGTAGTCACAACAGGTGCAGCCTCTGGGAGGCCCTTCTTTGCCAGGGATGTGCCTGCCAGCTCTGGCCATCAAGTGGAGCAAAATGCTTTTATTGGAACCAACCTTCAGCTGGCTCGCAATTTTCATTTCTTCCAGGGTGGAATGGCGGGATGACTCATGCTCACTGGGCACCCTGCTTGGTGCTGAATGCCTCATGCATGGCTTCCCTTTGTAATTCTCAGCTCAGCTGTGCAAAGCTGACGTTGCTCTTCCTGCTTTATGGTTGAGGATCTGAGGCCCAGAGAGGATCACTGACTTGCCCAAAGTCACACAGCATGGAGTTACCGGTAGTGTGAGCATTTGAACTCTGGCCTGTCTGATGGCAAAGCAAATGCCCTTTGCACTGTACCCCAAAGAGGCACTTCCAGGTCCCTCAAACTGATAACCTAAAAGGCTCTATGGGGACTCTGAAGGGGTATCTGCTTTGTGTTTTTACTAAGACCTTGGATCATATCACTCCCCTGGTTAAACCCTGTAGTGACTTTCTGTCACTCAGAATACCATCCCAGCTCCCTGCTGGTTCTGGCTGACAGGGCTTTCACGGTCTGGCCTCATGTCCTCCATTCTTGCTGGCTCTGCTCCAGGCACACCTGCTGCTGAAATATAACCACCTCGTCTCTGCGTGGGGTCTTTGCATGTCTTGACCGGCTTTTTCCTGTTGTTCCTATTTCAGATTAAATGACATCTCCTCAGGCCTTTCCCGACCTCCCCACTCCTTCCCCTGTTTTCCGTATCCCTGGTACCCAGCACTACCTCACTGTCCTTTTCACAATGCTGATTCCTCTCTGTCTCCCTCTGCAGATGTGTCCCATATGGGCAGGGCTGTGGTGCTTTGGCTGCCCCTTGTCTCTCTGGCACACAGAACAATGCCCGGCACACACCAGCATCTCAGTGGAGTAACTGCTTCCCCCAGGCGTTGGCATCTGTACAGGGGGAGATGCAGGGAGGGGCTAAGCTAAGGGGAAAATGATGCCAGCTGTGCCATCGCTTCAGTCCTGAGCCCAGGCCAGGGTGTGAGGTGTGTGCCCCTTTGCTAAGGGCAGGACAGGCAGAGCTGGGGCAGGTGAGGAGAAGGTCAGTGTGGTTCAGGGACCCCTGGGTTGTGGGGCTTCCCTAGAATCCTATTCTCCGGGACCTTAAAGGCCAGCTCCTCGGGTTGAGCGCCTGCCCTGGGGATGTGAAGATGGAGCCCGGTTGTCAAGGAAGGATGTTCCCTCCAGTGTTTAGTCACCACCCCGCTATCCCACCAAAAGGCTACCCAGCCTTGGCTCGCATGCCTCTCCAGTGACGGGGCGCTCACTACCTGTTGGGCAGCCATGCCGCTTTTGGCGAACTCTGACCCCACAACAGATGCCTCATTTGCTGCCTGTAGCTCCCCCTACCAGGGTGACCCCATCATAAATCACATCGTCCATCCCCCGGCAGGGCCCCTCCCTGCCGTCTGCCCGGGGCCCCGGCGGTGATGGCAGCTCTCCTCCCCGCTTGTTCCATCCCTCAGTTTAAGTGCTGTGGCGGAGAAGACTACCGAGATTGGAGCAAAAACCAGTACCACGACTGCAATGCCCCCGGACCCCTGGCCTGCGGGGTGCCGTACACCTGCTGCTTCAGAAACACGGTACCCACTGCTCCTGGGGCTTCCCGGCTGGTCAAACGCTTCTCTTACCTTTCAGGACGGGTGGTGGAGATGGTTGGGTGCGGCAGGCAGGAGGTGGTGGTCATTGTCGAGGCTTCCTGAGCCTCGAGGGCTACTAAAGGGGGTGAATCTGGGAGGGGGGGCGGGGAAGTCTTGTCTTATTAGTAGCGGTCGTTAACATCTACTGAGCACTTAACATGTGCTGGCCTTTTCTAGGTTCTTTAGTTGTATTAACTCATTTAGTCTTTTCAACAACCCTGTGAGGTAGGTACCGTTATTTCACCCACTGTACAGATGAGAAAATTGAGGAACCAAAAGTTTAGGTGCTTTGCCCAAGGTTGATGGAGCTGGGATGAAATTCAGGCAGCCATTGTCAGAGCTGCACCCTGGACTCCTGTGCAAGCCAGGCAAGGAGTAGGAGAAGGTCCAGGCCGGGGGGCTTAGCAGGGTGGCTGGCTTGACAGCCGTAGCCAGAGGACCAGAGCAGGGCCTGCACTGTGGGCATTGCTGGTGGACTTTGGGCTTGATGTCCTGGTCACCATCAGCAACAGGGTATTTGGAAGGGGTCTGGTGATGTAACCGTCAGCCTCCACCTCTCCCCAGTGGGATCCTCTCAGCTCTGTTGCCTCCTTAGCCCCTTGGGAGGCTGCCCTGTGCTGTCACTGCTAATAAATGAGAGGCTTGGTCAATCCTGTGTTTGACTAATGTGTCCCCAAACTGCATGGTTTCTGGGTTGGAATGAGGCGGAGAGCTTTGCAATTACTCACACCCTGAAGAGTCATGGAACATTTCTCTTCTGATGCTCCACCATTCTGTGCCCACTTCCGGATTCTGTAAACCGCACAGCTGCTGGTAGGGGTGGGGGCCTCACCCAGTGAGTCAGGGAGCCAGTGCCAAGTGCATTAGCCCTAAAAAGGCTGGACCAGGAGGGGAGGTTTGTTTGGAAATTGTAGCTGCCATTTTAGGGTAGCTTTCTGTACAAGGGGAGTGCTGGGGAAGAGCCCGGGTTTTTTAGGGAGGCCTACGGGGGGTGACCCTGAACTTCATCACCCAAGGCAGTGGCACCTGAAGGTCCAGGTTGAGATGTGGAAGCCCAACTTGTATTCATTCATTCATTCAACGAGTATTTATTGAGGACCTGCCAGATGTGGTTCTACATTCTGAGGATACAGAAAACACACAGAGAACTTTTGCCTGCATGGAGCTGACATTCTTTCTAGTGGGTAGAACTGACAAGAAAAATAAATAAGTAAAAGAGATAGTATGCTAGAAGATGATAAATGCTAAGGAGAAAAATAAAGCAGGGGCGTGGAGGATTGCAATTTTAGATACTGAGAAGGTAGGTTCTCAGTAAAACCCTGAAGGAAGTGAGGGAGTGAGCCATGTGTATCTGGGGATGGGAACTCCTGGCAGAGAGAACAGCAAGTGCAAAGGCCCTGAGGTGGGAGTTGCCCTGGTGAGTTTGAGAAACAGTGCAGAGACCAGTGTGGCTGGAGCAGAGTGAGTGTGGGGGAGGAGAGTGGCAGACAAAGTCAGGGAGGTCATGGGTGCCCTGATGGCCGTGGTCAGGACTTAGGTTCCCTTGAGTGACAAGCAGTCAAGTGACAGGGCTTTAGTAGCTGAGTAGCAGATCTTACTTAGGCTTTACCAGGACCACCCTGTCTGCTGTGGGAGCAGAGGTGACGTGGGGAGTCTGGTTAGGGGCTAGTGCAGTGGTCCAGGTGTCACAGCTAAGGCTGTCCGGGGAGTGGGCTCTGACATGCTGGTTAGTGAGCAGGAGGTTTAGTAGGAGGTGTGCTCAGGATTGACACCTGTAAGGAAGGTGACAGAAGCTGGGCTGGGCAGAGGGAGAGGTTGAGCAATGATGCAGGCTCAATGGGGGCCTCAGCTGCCTCTCCAGGAATGTCCTGCGATAATCCTTCAGAGTTGTCCCATATTGGGGCAAGGGGAACAGGTCTTCATACCCTCCACATGCACCAGGCATTACATGAGGAGTGTCCCACCCGGAAGGGACTTGCTGGCTTGTTCAGCAGAGAAACAGAATCAACAGGATGCGTGTGTGTAAAGAGATTTATTATAGGAAACTGACTCACAGAATTATGGAGGCAGGCAAGTCCCAAGATCTGAAGAGTGAGTCGGCAAGCGAGAGCCCCGGGAGAGCCAATGGTTTAGTTCCAGTCTGAGTCCACAGGCCTGAGAACCAGGAGAGCTGATGATGTAGTTCCTGTTTTAAGGCTGGCAGGCTCAAGGCCCAGGAAAACCCAGTGTTTCAGTTCACATTTGAAGTCAGGCAGGAAGAATTCTCCCTTACTCGGGGGGAAGGGCTGCCCTTTGGTTCTATTCAGGCCATCAACTGATTGGATGAGGCCTGCCCACGTTAGGGAGGGTAATCTGCTTTACTCAGGCTACTGACTTAAATGTTAATTTCATTGGGGGCTTCCCTGGTGGCGCAGTGTTTAAGAATCTGCCTGCCAGTGCAGGGGACACGGGTTCGAGCCCTGGTCCGCGAAGATCCCACATGCCCCAGAGCAACTAAGCCCGTGCGCCACAACTGCTGAGCCTGCTCTCTACAGCCCGTGAGCCACAACTACTGAGCCCGTGCGCCACAACTAGTGGAGCCACCGCAGTGAGAAGCCCGTGCACCACAACGCAGAGTAGCCCCCGCTCACCGCAACTAGAGAAAGCCTGTAGCCCCCGCTCACCGCAACTAGAGAAAGCCCTCGTGCAGCAGCAAATACCCAACGCAGGCAAAAATAAATAGATTAAATAAACTAATTAAAACAAAAACAAAACCAAAAAATGTTGATCTCATTAAAAAACCACCCAGAATTACTGTTTGCATAGATATCTAGGTGAGTCACCCTGGGGCCTAGAGAAGAGTTCTGGGCTCTAGGGTTAGGGAGGCCTCTGCTGCTGCATGTCTGTTCCCTGAGGGGCAGGAGCTGTGGTTCCACCTCCAGGGCTGGAAGCACAGTGAAGAGTAAGTTTATTCTTGTCACCTTCTTACATACCATATAGTTTACTTATTTATTATGTTCATTGTCTGTCTCCCTCCCTAGAATAAAAGTTCCATGAAGGCAAGGACCTTTTTTTGTTCGTCTATATTCCCAACACCTAGAACAGAGAATGGTACATAATGAGTGCTCAGTATTTGTTCAGTAATGACTGAATGAATGAACAAATGAGGTAGGAAGCACCTGTTCCCATCATGCCCTCGTGCACTTGCTCCCCAGGCCTGACCTTCTCCCTGGGGGTCATGTTCTTGGCCTGGGGGGCCACAAATGCCGACTGACATGAAGTGGATGCTCAGTGTTTTGGGGTCTGAGGGCTCCTGGGGGACAGTCTAGACTGAGAGAGGTTATTTTGCCCACACATCAGGCCCTGACATTTAGACTGATCTAGATGACGCCTGAGGTTCAACCCACTCTTTTGGAAAGAGAGTAGACAGCCCTCCTTGCCTTCCAGGGGCTGGGATCGTGTCCAGAGTCACTCCAGCCAGCATGTCTGTGTTCTGCCATGTGCCCAGCCCTGGGATAAGCCCTTTATGTGTATATCTCACTTTATATTCAAAACAGCTCCGTGGGGTACATTCTTAGATCACCATTGCTTTATGGAACAGACCAGGGAAGCTATTCATTCATTCAACAAATCCTTATTGAGTGCCTGCATGTGCTAGTCCCTCAGCAGCCCACCTAAGGTTGGTCACAGAGCTCCTAAGTGGCAGAGCAGGACCTGGACCAGGTAACATGATGTCAGAGACCATACTGGCCACTCCACTGTCCTGCATTACTGCTGGAACCTGTGGCACCCTGGTCCCACAGCAGCTTTCACTTAGATGTGAAGGGATGGGACCGGGACATCGAGCTTTCTCTCACCTTCTAGAAAATAGAGGAAACTATACAAGGGCTCAGGCAGTGATGGGAAGTGCCCCTGCCAGTCCTGTGTTATAGGTCTGCTGGGAAGAGATTTGATGGGTCTAGGGCCGACCACAGCTTCCCCTGCGCCTAGATTAGTCAGCCGCTGGGAGTTCCTGAGAGCAGCTCTCTTCCCAGGAAGGAGGTTGGGCGGTCCTTCCACTGGTGGGTGGCTGTCTGCAGGAGCAGGGAAGTGTGGTCAGAGGCCTGGCTTTGCCCTCAGGTAATCCCCAGCTGGCCAGGGCCCTGGCTGTGGTCTGGGATTTTCTTTCATAAGAGCCAGCGTAGTGGGAGCGGCCCAGCCCTGACCTCAGACAACCCATAACCATATCAGCAAAGCTTGGGCTCTGGGGCGGCTGCAGTAAGGGAGCCTGGGGCAGTGCCCTTTCCTCTGGGTTCCTAGGCTGCCACGGGTGGAGCAGTGGGCCTCCCGCTGAAGCGCCACGGAACTGGCCTTCCCGCCTGTCCTCCCTGTGCATTTCTTGGAGGCGGGAGGTTAAGATGCCGACTTGAGCCAGGCTGCCGGGGTGGGAATCTCAGCTCCAACCATACTGGGCAGTGCAACTCTCTGTGCACTATAAAATGGGGGTCGGGGGAATAAATGTCTTCTAGAGTAAACACTATGTAAGTGTTAGCTAATACACATTTCTCTTTCAGACAGAAGTTGTCAACACCATGTGCGGCTACAGAACTATTGACAAGGAGGTAACGTCTTTGAAATCTCTTTCCTCCAGAAAGGTTGCCCTTCCTGTCCCATCTCCAGGGTGATCAGAGGGGCTACCAGGGGTGAGGCTCCTGGCTGCTGAGATTTCCCAACATTCCTGGCTGTGAAAAGGAGCCAGGGACTGCCCAGGTTTTCTGCCCTACCCAGAACAGGAGGACTCGGGGAGTGAAGAATCCCCCCAGGCTGGGAAAGGCTGGCTGCCAGGGTGTGCCGAGCACCTAATGTGTGAGGCCACCGAGGCTACCGTGCCCCTGCCAGTGCCCCCAGCATGTCCCTGTGCCTGGCCGCGCTCAGCACCAGCCTGCCTCTGCCCTTGGAGCTGCCCATTTGCAGACGATGCACACTGGCTTCCTCAGCCTGGGACCCAGGAGTCCCTTGGGGAAGAGAGCCTCTGGAAGGTCCCTCCTGGCTCAGCTTCCTGGGCATTTCTCCTGGACTTGGAGACAAGCTGGGGTGGTGCTGAGAAGGAAGCTGAAAATAGTGACGACTTGAGATGCCTCTGAGCAGTGGTTCTCAAAGTGAGGTCCCCCGACCAGCAGCAACAGCAGCGCCTTCCACCCCCCCGCCCCCGACCTGGGAACTTCTTAGAAACGGGCATTCTTGGGGTGGCGCCAGCAGGTGATTCTGACACACATTTAACACGCAGAGCCACAGACCAGCAGTGGTTCTCCAGCCATCAAACCCAATGGCCAGTTTTTATATTAAACACTTGGTAATGCCCTATTTATTATTCCAAAGTGAAATTCACAGATAATATAACCTACCTACACACATAATTCCAAAACAAGTAACGTAATGATTTGAGATAAAAGGAGAAATAAGATAAAACAATTTACAACCATATACCATATTTCAACACGTACATGTTCAGGCACTAGACAGAAAAAGCGAAGTGGTTGGGTGTTTACACTGCCAGGGGCTTCTGATACTTGGGAGGGGTGTTGTGTGGACAACTTGCATTACCATGGGCGTATTTTTGCCATTGACATGGTTTTTCAAAATGGTGAACAATTCTTGATAAAGTTGCAAACAAAATAAAGTATAATTATTCCTTACTTTATCTAATATTCTTTCTACAGAATTCAGTACATAGTAAAGACATGCAGAAAACACTTTGGTTTTTATGTCCCTGGAGTTAGGCTTTGGGCTCAGATAATTATGGATGGCTTTTCACCCATCCAGATGCCCAGGGGACATCTAAGACGCAGGTAGTCTGGAAAGTTGTCCATGGAGTAGGATTGCCCTGAGCTCTACAGTCCCTCAGCCCCCAGCCCCGATCGCAGTGATAACCAGAAGTGCCACCACAATGTCCGCAGTGCTCTCTAGGGAGCGGTACCGCCTGCTGAGACCCAGTGATCTAGAGCCACCTTCTCATCACATTGCATACGAGAAACTGAGGCCCAGAGAGGCTGAGGGACTCGCCTGGACCTGGGGTGAGTGGCAGAGTTGGGACCAGGGCTCCCAGGCGAGTGCTCAGCCAGGCTCCTCCCCGGCAGCGCCTCAGCGTGCAGAATGTCATCTACGTGCGGGGCTGCACCAACGCCGTGCTCATCTGGTTCATGGACAACTACACCATCATGGCGGGCCTCCTGCTAGGCATCCTGCTCCCCCAGGTGTGCTGGTCCCCCCCCACCCAGGGAGGGGAGCTAGAGGTGGGGATGGTGTGGGCGGGCTGTGGCTTCAGGTGATGTGTGGCTTGGTGATTACAGGGTGCAGAGTAGGCACAGAGGGCTGGGGTGAAGAGAGCTCTTGGACCAGCCACCTGGGCTCACCCTGGGAGGGGTGGAGGGTTGGAAGGAGGGGGTGAATGGCCTAGAAAGTGAGTGACATAGCTGGGGGGGGAATAGGAGTCGCAGAATGGAGGGTCTCTGGGATTTCCCAGCAGGCGCAGAGGAGGGCCCAGGCTGGGGCCATTGGGGTAGTGGGGGCTAGGGACTGCCGGAGAGGGCCACCCAGATGGCCAGCAGGCTCTCACCCACCCTGCCCCTTCTCCTCAGTTCCTGGGGGTGCTGCTGACATTCCTGTACATCACCCGGGTGGAGGACATCATCACAGAGCACTCTGTCACCGATGGGCTCCTGGGACCCAGCACCAAACCCAGCGTGGAGGCAGCAGGCACGGGGTGCTGCATGTGCTACCCCAATTAGGGCCGTGGCCTGGGGCGGCAGCTCCAGAAGGACCGTGACAGGACATCTCTGCGCAGGCCACGTCGTGGGGGCCAGATAGGACTGTGGCCCCTCTCTCCACATTCGGCACTGACCAAAGCCATGGCTGTGTTTGCTCAGGGCTCCCAGGCCACCGCCTGTCTGGGGGGCGGAGCCCCTCCCCAGCTGTGGAATTCTGTGCGTGCCCACCCTGCTGGGCGTGGGGAACAGGGCACCCCTCCTCCAGGCTCCGGCTGCTGGGGAAGGGGGAGCTTGGCACTGGGCTCCGGACCCATTTCATTTCTGGTAGTGCCTTGGCCTTGGTGTTTGTGCCCCTTTGAGGGCAGTTTTATAGTGATTTGTAATCAGGGAGGGAGGAGAGCATGTGTGCCCTGAGGTGAAGGAGCAGAGGGGTGGGGTGCAGACCCCAGGTCCCAGTCCTTCGGCCTCACCTTGAGGCCACGTTGGGTCCGTTTCTCAGCCTCCTGGGTACCTCGAGACCACCCCAGGGCTGCTGCTTTGTTGACCCTGTTTTGTACCTGATTTTATAACATTCATTTTGTACACAGTTAACAGGAGTTTCCGACTAATCAAAGCTAGCTGTTCCCCCCATTCCTCTTCCCCCTCCAAGCCAGTTTATTAATCAGACAATAAAGACATGATTTTTTTTTTTTTCTGGTTTTTTGTTTGTGCTGTTTGGGTCGAGAGTGAGGAAGACCTCAAGTTGGGCTTGGAAACCCCTTGTTGGTGCAAAGATTGAAGGGGAGCCACCCTGAGACCAAGATTTGGAACAGTTTGGGACACTGAGGCCCAGGAGGATCAACCGAGGCTGCCTGTTTCCAGCTTGGAATGGCCTCTCTCACCCTTTGGTTTGTGGACTGGGCCTGGAGCCTCCTGTGCCCATCCTTCCTGCCAGGAATTCACTTGCGGGAAACCTCAGGGAAAGAGGCAGAGATGACAACCTATTTTACAGACTGGGAAACTAAGGCCAAGCCACACTGGCATGAGTCTTCTCTTCCGGGAAGTGGGGTAGATGGGAACTAGGAAAGTCAGGGGTCCGGGAAGGAGCAGTGCCCACAGATCCACCCTCGACCTTTGGGCTATAGAACTGGAGTGACTCTTTTTTTTTTTAACCAAACAAAACGTGCTTTATTTAGTAAAAACTGGTGAGTGTGGGCAGGACATGGCAGAAGTGCACAGGGGCTGGGGATGGGAGGGTCAGGGGTCAGCACAGGGGGGACATGACTCAGGATGGAGGAGCCAGAGGTCAGAAGACTTGGAGGTGGGTGGGTCATTGGTAACTTATCACCTGCTCCTCTAGAGGCTACATGTGGCTCAAAAGCCCCTGGGGGTTCCAGAGGCCTGACTGGCAAGGGAAGGTTTGTCTCTGCAGGCCTAGGGAGGCCCTACCCCCAACATCAGCAGGAACTCTCGGGGACAGGATGAAAGCACCTGGATAGCATCAGACTGTAAACAGCCCATTGTTCCAGGGCCTGGGGTGGGGCTGGACGGTGCTCACTGCCTAGCAAAGGATGGTGCTGGTCGCCCCCTGCTGGAGACGGCAGGACCTGCGTGGATCAGTCCACCCAAGCCTTCCTGCCCCAAGAGTTGAGTTCTAGATTTGCTGTGAGGTTCTTAGTAGCCAGGGCAATAGAAATAAACAGCATGAGCCCCAAACCTGAAGAATTCAATTTAAGAGTGTTAAAGGAACTGCCCATCACACCCACAAGAGGTAGGATGCCTGGTTGGCCATATGTACAAGCCTGCATTGTCTGATGTGTAGGAAAGGGCAGAAGAGGGATTTTTTCTTTTTTAAAGGATAGAATAATGCAACAATAGCAAGCACATCACTGAGCACACTCTGTCTCAGAAACTTGTCTAAACATAGATATTAACTCCTTTAATCCTTACAACTGTATGTGGTAAATCCTGTTATCTCCATTTTATTGATGGAGAGACTGAGGCATATTGTGAACTTGCCCAAAGCACACGGCTGGTAAGTGACAAAGCCATGATGTGAACCTGGGTAGAATCTCCCTGGCATGCAGCCCCTTCTGCTCTACTGATTCTGTTGCCTCGTATGGACACATGGTACTAAGCGTGCAAAACCTGGGATGGCTGTTACTGTAGCTGTTCCCATGGGGTGGCCACTGCAGCCACTGCTGGAGCCTCTGCCTGGTCCCCATTTTGACCAGTGCATTCAAGGCCAGGTCAAACTCTGTGTCTGGCTGGTGGCCTTGTGGCACTCTGGCTCTGGCTGTTCTCTGAGGATTCTCTCTGTGCTCAGAGGGTGTGGCAGCTGCCTTTGGGACAGCAAGATGGCAGAGGCACCGAAGGGGTTGGGATTGCACTGAATCTGCTTATCCAAAGTCACATTACCCTGGAACCTGGAAACCTCTGGTCACCTTGTCCTCCCTCTTCTCACCACCACTCACCAACACCCCTCTACCTCCCACTGCTGCTTCTGTGCACCAGGGATCACAGGTTGGTGCCCACAGGAGGCTGAGTGCCGTGGACACTTAGCTCTTCTTTTTTTTTTTTGAAACCTCAGCCACTCACCTCTCCTGAAAACACACGGAACCCATGGAGAGGCCTTTCTCAGTCCTGTGGTTGGGCTGCCCCTGCTTTGTACCCTTTGTGCTTCAAAAGCAGTTACATCATCCTGGCCCCTTGTAACACAATGATGGAAGAATGACCCTCAAAGTGAGTCATTTTCCCTCACCGTGGCACACACAGAAAATGATGATATCAGTGCAGCCCACAATATTTGTGAAGCCGGGGGAGATTTGTAGGCTTTGATTTGGGACTTTTTTGCTTCTCATATATTTATAAGAAAAACAAAACAATAAACTGCATTAAGGAAGACTGGGTTAGTATAAAAATTCCAAATAGTATTCTCCAAACTTTGTTTTAACAGTATATTGAGGTATATTCAACCTAAAATAAACCACACACATTTAACGTGACAAATATATCACTAGTCAAACCATCATCACGATGGAGACAATGAACAACCCCACCATGCTAAAGAAATTTCCTCTTGCCCCTTGGGGAGTCCTTTATAGCCCTTCTCACCACCTGCTAACCCATCTCCAGGTGACCATGGATCTGCTTTCTGTCTCTATACATTATATTTTCCAAAATTTTATACAAGCGGATTCATACAGCATGGACTCTTCTCTTTGTCTGCCGTTTCTTGCTTAACGTAATTATTTTGAGTTTCATTCATTTCCTAGCACGGATCAGTAGTCCATTCCTTTGTATGGCTTTGCCATAGTTTATCCAATCACCTATTGATGGACATTTGTGTTGTTTCCAGGTTTTTGGTTGTTTCTAATACAAATAAAGTTGCTATGACCATCCATGTACCTGTCTTTGTACAGAAATATACTTTCATTTCCCTTGGGTAAATATCTAGGAGTGGAATAGCTGGATCATATGGTAAGTGTATGTTTAGGTTTATGTTATAAGAAACTGCCAAAGTATTTTCCACAGTGGTTGCATGATTTTATATCCTGACCAGTAGTGTAGAGTCCCTGTTCCTCTACATCCTTGCCAGTATTTGGTATGGCCAGTCTCTTAAATTTTGGTCATTCTAATGGGTGTGTGGTGATAAATCGTCGTGATCTTACTTTGCATTTCCTTTTTTATCTATGTGTGTGTATATATATCTATATATATGTATTTATTGAAGTATAGTTGATTTACAATGTTGTGTTTCAGGTATACAGCACAGTTACATATCTATAACTGATAATATATTGGTAATATAATATAAATCTATTCTTTTCAGATTCTTTTCCCTTATAAGTTATTACAAAATATTGGATAGAGTTTCCTGTGCAGTACAGTAGCTCCTTGTTGGTTATCTATTTTATATATAGTAGTGTGTGTATGTTAATCCTAACCTCCTAATTTATCCCTCCTCCACCCCTGTCTTTGAGAAGATGACCCCTTCTTTGGGTGACCTCTCTCCACTGTCCCACAGAATCAATCAAGTAACAGCTGCCCCCCTTTTTCATGCTTGTTGTGCACCAGCTCCATGCTCATCTATTTTTACCGATAATGATGGTCCATAATAACCATGTTGTAGAAAAGGGAACTGGGATCAGAAGGGTTGAGGAACGTGCCTAGGGTCCCCCATCTAGTAAGTGATACTGCCAGGATTTGAGAACATGTCTGACTCCAAGGCCCTTGGTCCCCCACGTGCTAGCCTGGCATTGGAAGTCCTACCTACCATTCTGGCCTCATCCATGTCCCTTGTTCCTGTCAGCAGGGCTTACCCAGTTCATTCTTAGCTCGCACGGTTCTACCTATCATCTCGTGAGAAAGATCCAGCTCTCAACTCTTCCACATTCCCTTTCCCCATCTCCTTTGAGTTTCAATTCTGTGTGTGGAAAGACTTATTTTTATGATTGCCTGTTTTGCAGATGGAGAAAACTGAGGCCAGACTAGTAAATTGTATACCAAGTGGCTCCACCAGCAACCCCAGAACCTGGTTCCTTCCAAGCCCCTGCCCTGCCTACCATCCGCCTGGGGCCTGGGACGTGCACAGTAATATGGGGCTGCTGGTTCCGGCGATGGCCTCGCACAGTCTGAGCCCTTGGAGGGAGCCTGATTTGCAATCCTGAGAGCCCAGGAAGGCAAAAAGCACGTCTCCCGGCATGGCTGCATATTGCCACTAGGTGGCGCTGCCGGCCCGCGGCTTTACGCCCAGAACGCAAACTCCACCCCCCACCCCCGCCCCACGCCGACCAGAGCCCGGGCCGGCGCTGTGGCTGACGCCGGAGTGTGCCCTTCAGACCGTACCCCAAGGAGCGGGCCAAAAGGTGAGGCTAAAATACTATAGGTATCTGCATCTAGTAGGCACTCAATAAGTGATTGTTAACTGGGAAACGGAGGCTGGATACTAACAGGTTACTATTATTGACTGTCCCTAGGTGGCTGTGTGGTGTGAGGGCGTGTGTGAGGAGGGCGGAGGTACACCATGCTTAGCACATTCTAGCCTTCATTCTCGTTAGTCGTCACAGGTGCTTTATTCCCGTTTTGCGGGTGAGGAAACTGGGGTTTAGGTCGGTTCGTGGAATAGAGGGAAGAACCAGGATTTGAAGCGCTCTGCCCACATCCTGTCGGGATCACCTGTTGGTCCAGTGCCGCCTCCTCGTCCGCCTCGAGCGGGAGCCCGGGGTGAAAGCCCGCTACCCTGCTCAGCCAGCACAGCCTCAGCCCCCAGCATCATGCGACCACCAGAGGGAGGCCTCGGCCTTCGGACAGCCGCAGAGGGGCCTCGAATGAGGCTGGGAGGGTGGCGCAGCAGTGGGGCAGCTGGGCCCTGGAAGGCAGCCTCTGGCTCTGGAAGGAGGATAAGCACCTCTGCCCGGCGGGTCGCCGTGGGCTGACAGGAAGCCATGCAGGTCCAATTGTTGCTCTGTGAGGGCTCCGCAGCCAGCCCTGCCCCAAGCCCTTGCCCCGGCCCTGAGTAGGCCTGAGCAGGCCGTGTGGACGAGCAACCATCGTAACATAGCGGCCACCGCACGTATTATCTATAATATTTTCCTGATTTGTTTTGCCGTTTTCCGTCTCGCCCACTGAGCCACTGACAGGCGGGATTTTGCCTGCTCCGTGCACTGCTGTCTCCCCGGCACTCAGCACTGGTGGTGGAGCGTGGTGGGTGCTCAGTGAGCAGACGCTGGCGGAGGGAACGGAAGTGGCCCGGAGCACGGGGCACCTGCGCTGGGCGGGGCTCCGGGACTCAGTGGGCCCCTTGTAACCCACATGTGAACCCCAGAGGGCCAGGCTTGGCGTGTTGCCCTGCTCTGCAGGCTGTCAGCCTGGTCAAATCTTTGTACCCCAGAGGGCCTCTCTCGCCTCCTCTCCGGAGGAGCAGCTAAGGGTTTCCAGGTGTGGTGGCTCAGGGGGTGGCCATTCAATGCACCTGTTGCCCTGTCTTGGCTGTACCGCCCCCTCCTTCTCCCTGCTTCTTTCCTCCATCTGCCAAAGTGAACATGCCATGGCTGCCCCTCCCCCTTCCAGTATCCAGTGAAAACCCCAGTGAAATCGCTGCAAATAGAAAAATGTCTGCATCAACTTAAGAAACTAAGCCTGTACTTGAGGCAGCTCTTGTAGCAGCTTCTAGCAAGGACTCAGGCTAAGATGCCATTAGTGAGGGCCCGGATGGGGTTTTTATGACTAGCCTTTGCTGTCCTCCCTCCAAGGTGATGCTGGAGAGCCTCTGGCAGTGGAGGCCCCTTTAGAATCATTTGGACCCTGCTGGCAGCAAAGATGGGTCTCAGAAACTGACTCGCTTGCGAAGAGCCACCCGAAGCCTCCTGCACCATGTTGCCTGGAGAACTAGAACAGGGTCTCACACCCAGAAGGGCAACCAGCACGTGGAGAACATTGGCCAGGACCTGGCTGGGTACCACATAGCGCAACATCTTCCACCTTAGATCTGTGAGGAAGATTCCATCTGGGTCTGGGGGCCCCAAGTGGGAGCTGGGACAATCCATGCATCCAACAAAGGCCCATAGAAAGAACTCTTCATTAGAGGAAGAGTCACCAGGGAAAAAAATGGGCCTATGAAAAAAGATGCAGCCAAGGGGAAAGGAGGACGAGAGGGCAGGGGCTGTATCTTATAATCACTGTAGCTCTAGCACCTCACAAGACACACACAGATGCTCAATAAATATGTCAAATGAATATGTGCCTCAGAGTATAACCTTCCTCAGCAATAGATTTTACCAGCAAAGTTAGAATATTTGTACTTTAGGCTCTATATAAGGTACAAGAGAATACAGCTTCTATTAAATGAGGGCAATTCATGGGAGGAGACAATGGTAAACAAAAAATACAGGAGCTGAGTTACAATTTGCATTGGTTGCAATAAATAGTAGACCTGAAAGTGCAAAAATCGAATGAGAGGTACAAAGGACCAGATGGAGAGGCATTCGCGGGATGCAAAGGAAAAGGGTAAGGACAAAGCATTATGAGAACAAACAGGGACAAGGGCCACAGAAACCTCATCCGAGGGACAGACATTCTCTGCCTCCCACCAGACAGACACACACACACAGACACACATACAAGGAAAGAGAGGCAGTGAAGTTATAAAGGAAGTAAATTCTTGATTAAAAAAGAAAAAGACACAGTAAAGTTAAAAATGTGCGATTATGGCACTTCTTTCACTTTCTCCAGTGCTTATAGAGAAAGTGATAATATTTATGAGTTCTCTACGTAAAGGGAGGAGGCACCCAGGCCCTGGGCTTCGGGGACCAGAATCTCCGCTGCCCGTGGCCCACCCACATGGGTGAGCCCTAGACATGCACATAGGTGCACTAGGAATGGTGACCAGGATGTCCATCGCAGTGCTGTTTGTAATAGTGAAAAATGGGAAACTGCCTGAGTGTTTGCCAAAAGGGAGCGAATCCCTACCAGGTGGTATGTTCTTCCAGTGGAATATTATATAGCACTTCAAGTGAAGGAATCAAAGCTCTACGTATCAGAGCTTAAGAACGCAATGTTGAATGGAAAAGCTAGCTGCATAATGATACATAGAATACGATGTCATTGTATTTCTTTTTATTTACTTTTTTATACAGTAGGTTCTTATTAGTCATCAATTTTATACACTTCAGTGTATACATGCCAATCCCAATCGCCCAGTTCATCACACCACCATCCCCACCCCCCCGTGGCTTTCCCCGCCTTGGTGTCCATACGTTTGTCCTCTACATCTGTGTCTCAACTTCTGCCCTGCAAACCGGTTCATCTGTACCGTTTTTCTAGGTTCCACACACATGTGTTAATATACAATATTTGTTTTTCTCTTTCTGACTTACTTCACTCTGTATGACAGTCTCTAGATCCATCCATGTCTCAACAAATGACTCAATTTTGTTCCTTTTTATGGCTGAGTAATATTCCGTTGTATATATGTACCACCTCTTCTTTATACATTCGTCTGTCAATGGGCATTTACGTTGCTTCCATGACCTGGCTGTTGTAAATAGTGCTGCAAAACTATGCTGAATAATAGTGGTGAGAGTGGACATCCTTGTCTCGTTCCTGATCTTAGAGGAAATGCTTTCAGTTTTACACCATTAAGAATGATGTTTGCTGTGGGTTTGTCATATATGGCCTTTATTATGTTGAGGTAGGTTCCCTCTATGCCCACTTTCTGGAGAGTTTTTTTTTTTTTTTTGCGGTACGCGGGCCTCTCACTGTTGTGGCCTCTCCCGTTGCGGAGCACAGGCTCCGGACGCGCAGGCTCAGCGGCCATGGCTCACGGGCCCAGCCGCTCTGCGGCATGCGGTACCTTCCCGGACCGGGGCACGAACCCGTGTCCCCTGAATCGGCAGGCGGACTCTCAACCACTGCGCCACCAGGGAAGCCCTGGAGAGTTTTTATCATGAATGGGTGTTGAATTTTGTCAAAAGCTTTTTCTGTATCTATTGAGATGATCATATGGTTTTTATTCTTCAATTTGTTAATATGGTGTATCACATTGATTGATTTGCGTATATTGAAGAATCCTTGCATCCCTGGGATAAATCCCACTTGATCATGGTGTATGATCCTTTTAATATGTTGTTGGATTCTGTTTGCTAGTATTTTGTTGAGGATTTTTGCATCTATATTCATCAGTGATATTGGTCTGTAATTTTATTTTTTTGTAGTATCTTTGTCTGGTTTTGGTATCAGGGTGATGTTGGCCTCATAGAATAAGTTTGGGAGTGTTCCTTCCTCTGCAATTTTTTGGAACAGTTTGAGAAGGACGGGTGTTAGCTCTTCTCTAAATGTTTGATAGTATTCACCTGTGAAGCCATCTGGTCCTGGACTTTTGTTTGTTGGAAGATTTTTAATCACAGTTTCAATTTCATTACTAGTGATTGGTCTCTTCATATTTTCTATTTCTTTCTGGTTCAATCTTGGAAGGTTATACCTTTCTAAGAATTTGTCCATTTCTTCCAGGTTGTCCAGTTTATTGGCATAGAGTTGCTTGTAGTAGTCTCTTAGGATGCTTTGTATTTCTGCGGTGTCTGTTGTAACTTCTCCTTTTGCATTTCTAATTTTTTTGATTTGAGTCCTCTCCCTCTTTTTCTTGATGATTCTGGCTAATGGTTTATCAATTTTGTTTATCTTCTCAAAGAACCAGCTTTTAGTTTTATTGATCTTTGCTATTGTTTTCTTTGTTTCTATTTCATTTATTTCTGCTCTGAGCTTTATGATTTCTTTCCTTCTGCTAACTTTGGGTTTTGTTTGTTCTTCTTTCTCTAGTTCCTTTAGGTGTAAGGTTAGATTATTTATTTGAGATTTTTCTTGTTTCTTGAGGTAGGCTTGTATAGCTATAAACTTCCCTCTTAAAACTGCTTTTGCTGCATCCCATAGGTTTTGGATCATCATGTTTTCATTATCATTTGTCTCTAGGTATTTTTTGATTTCCTCTTTGATTTCTTCAGTGATCTCTTGGTTATTTAGTAACGTATTATTTAGCCTCCATGTGTTTGTGTTTTTTATGTTTTTTTCCCTGTAATTAATTTCTAATCTCATAGCGTTGTGGTCAGAAAAGATGCTTGATGTGATTTCAATTTTCTTAAATTTACTGAGGCTTGATTTGTGCCCCAAGATGTGATCTATCCTGGAGAATGTTCCGTGTGCACTTGAGAAGAAAGTGTAATCTGCTGTTTTTGGATGGAATGTCCTATAAATATCAATTAAATCTATCTGGTCTATTGTGTCATTTAAAGCTTCTGTTTCCTTATTTATTTTCATCTTGGATGATCTGTGCATTGGCATAAGTGAGGTGTTAAAGTCCCCCACTATTACTGTG